GCTCATGTAAAAACACGCTGATTCCCGGACCATCCACGGGCCGGATTTAGAAGGCGATTGGGCCGGATCCGGCCCCTGGGCCTTAGTTTGCCTACCCACGTTAGAAGATATGGGATAAAGCACAGCTACTGAAATTGTGCTCCCCGCCTCCCAGAAAAAAAGTTTATTTAGGTCAAGTTGACATGAAGCAAGTATCCTGATTTTTAAAAAAGGGTTTAATCACTAGAACAGTCACATTATGATTCCACTGTTAAAAGCACATGGGCAGGGTTATTATGCAAGAGCACGTGTGAAATTTTAAAATCTGAATAGCTAGCTTGTACTTCATGCCTTGGTATAGTAGCAATCCATTAGAGACTTAGTGGCCGGTCCTAATGGCTTTATTAATAAGTAAGTCGCACAGAATTCAGCAGGACTTTCATCTTGGTAGGACTGCAAGCGTATGTATACTTATCACTGGAATTTTCTTAGGGTTAGAAATGGACTGTAAGTGTGCTTGAGATTATAACCCAAAAGAGAAATGTAAAAATACACTGATAATATATATTCTACTTGATATTCTGTGCAACGCTGATGCTTACATCTTGTCTTCATCGCAGGGCCTAAAATGGTGAACATTGACTATATCGGGCATGACTAACCTCTTTCAGGCTGAGGACCATTTTGATTCATGGTTAAGAGTGGGTATGGATAATTATGTGATCTTCTTTGTGTGTGTGTGTTTCTTAAAAGGGCAAATTTGGGTTGGGGTCACAATCATTTTTGCATCACAGAATCAGAATAGGGAACCCACAAGAGCGTTCTTTTTTAAAACAACAACAACAAAACCACCTATTTTTTAAAATTGATGAGCATTTTACACAAAAAACATTTTGGTGTCACGGTGGGAGACCCATAGCAGCAATCAAAGTAAGAAATATTCCCCTCCCCCCATATTTGTGAATGCAGTCTGTAGGTAAACCACCCTTGTCAACATAATGTATGGCCAACTGATTGTCCATGGTTGATTGCTTAGTTCCCACTTTTCACAGAAGCATAGTGTTTCCTATGGGGCTTTTGAACCATGTGTTGGAATCTGTGTTCGACCGAGCTGATAAAGCTCATCTTCCTCCACCTGAGTCCTTCAGAATCGCCCTCCGACATGATTAACAACCTGAGCCTCTGATAAGGTTCCAGGCACATCCCCCATTCAGCAGAGAATCAAAACAGCACGCGGAAGTGATGAGATAGGTATGAGCTACATGCTAGGTTTTATTACTAAGCTACGCAGACAGAAAGAAATATACATCCTCTCTCTGTGAGAGCAGAGAGCAACTGAAAAACAAAGGAACCAGTAACATCACATCCGTCTCCTGTCTTCCGTGAGACTTCCAATAGCCTGGAATGTCTCTGGAATGTAAACAGAGTCTTGTGACTCCAAGAGCACTGCACAGTGGCAACACACAGAAACTAACACCACGCACCCCTAAGCCAGAATCCTGGGAATAGCAGTGACTTATTTCAAAGTGCTGCTGCTTTCAACCTAGGAGTGCCTTTCTGTGAGAAAGCTCCCTAGTGCTGATTGACAGCTGCAATATTGCTGTTGGAAGAACCATAGCTCAGGAGTAGTACACATGTTTAGCAAGCAAACGGTCTCATCCCCAGCATCTCCAGAAATGGCTGGGAAAGACTCTGAACCCCTGGGGTGATGCATTTTGACATTATGGGGTAGACAATACTGAGCTAGAGGGACTCACAATGTCCCTTTATGTACCACCTTGTAACAGCAAAATGACCTTAAGGGTAAAATAAGACTACAGGAAGTTAGCATGCAGAGAAGCCAGCCTATTGACCCATGCTGAGGGAGATTTCAGTCTCTCTCTACCTTTCCTTCTATTTCCATAGCATGGAACTGCCAAGTCACTAGGTGGGTGGAAATTTATAGGCAGCAACTTCACCAGGTAGAGCAGTAATCCAAACTAAAGCAGTCTTATGAGATGTGACACATAGCCCAGAAAGGGAAAGGGGAACAAGGAAGAAAGGCCTCCTTCTCTCTGGCAAACCTGCTAAACTCTGTACCAAAACCAGCAAGAGGGGTGGGGTGGGGGAGCTGCAAAATGAGCAAACTCTGAGCCTTAGTAACAGCCAGCATTTCTCCCACTGAGTGATACAACAGACTGGGGAAGAGCATCCTAGGGGAGCTGGCTGGAAATCGTGTTACTAAAGCTGTTTAAAACTTGACTCGACAAGAGCCCTGGAGAACAATATGTAGAGAATAATTCTGCACATTAGCCAGAGGTGATTGCGCATGGGAAACAAACATGACCTACTCTGCTAGACCGTGTCTTTTCCCATCTCTTAATTCCTTTGATTTTTATGCCGCTCGACATAATAGCACAGGGTACTTAGTCACCTCCTTCCCAAGAGTGCAGGGAAGATTAATTAGCCAATGTCCATGCAATGCTTTGAAGATGAAAAATGCTAGATTCAGGCAATGCTCTTTCTGTTGAACTTGCTGGAGGACAGAAGCATGTTCCAAGTGCTTCTGTTCTGTCGGGTTTCGCATGCTGAATTTCAAATGCAGAGAGGAAGGAACAAAATAATCAGTGGCCAGACTAGGAAAGCATTATAAGGAAGAATTAATTTATGGTGGTTTGTGTCTAAGTATTATCCTGCACAGGGAGTTCTGTTCATGGACAGAACAGAAGCAAAGGGACAAAGGCATTGCATGATATTTCTAAAATGATGTGAAATCAGTACACTCCCTATTTTGGATGCCAGTCTCAAAGTACAATCATGATTAATGGCACACATCCTGCAGGCAGTTGGTACATTACTGAGTGCAGAGAGGTGGAAGTAGGAAGCCCTTAATGAAATCCATGATGGGGTCACCCCACACTGACCAACTTTAGTCAAATTGTGTGTGTGTCCCTCATAAGCTTCGCAAAACAGCATCTAATGGTGCCCTACCCCCTCTGGTAAGTTGAGCACTGCCTGCCAGTTCAGCTGTGTGCATGGAAAGGGATCAGCATGGAGTTCATTGAAGGACACAGGCAAAAGCCACCTTAGAGCCTGCTCCAGTCAAATTTCCCTTCCCTACACCCCACAGGTCTGTCTACCACCAATGTCTTGAAATGTGTGATATAAACAATTGTAATAAACAGAACCTTTCCCCCAGCTTTCCCTTGGGTATGCATACACTGCTGCATTCTGGCCATCTCTTTACAATGGAAGAGCTATGCATATGTCTGCCCAACATCTCTCTAGAGCCCCAGCCTGCAATTTACTTATGCGAGAACGCCAGCAATGTGCAAAATGCTGAGGAGAAGAGGGATACCTGAATTAACAGGGAGACAGACGGATGTCCCCTGTTATGCATAATGTGGCTGGCATAAGCACCGTGCAGTGAGATAAGGAGACAGAGAAGGTGCAGCTATACCAGGCTTTGTATACAAAGTTTGCAACAACAACAAAAGGTTGGGGTGGGGGGAATTCCTGCTCTATTCATGAAGTAGCATTTTCATTGTAGGAAAAAGAGAAGTTTGATAGGAACCGGAAACTTATTTAGATGGTTGGCATGCTTTAAGGCTCTTTTAAAAAACGCAACCCAATTCTGCTCTATTTATACTGTCTGCTTAAAGCGTCCCTGACAGGATGGGTGAAAAATGTGCTGCTCTTAAACGAAAGACGGATTCAAAACCAGGTCAGTAACAAATACCTGCATCTCAACTCAGGGCAAGTTTGGCTTCTTTCCAAAACAGATCCTAGATAGATTAAGGGCAGATCCGCACTACACAATGAAAGCATATTCAGTGTGCATTTGAAGCACGTTCTTTCCCTCAAAGAATCCTAGGAGCTGTCGTTTCCTACCATTTCTAGCACCTTTAACAAACTACAATTCCAAGGACTCTGGGAGAAGTCATGTGCTTTAAATTGAATTTAAAGGTGCAGTGTGGATTTACCCTAAAGATCAGCTCACACTGTCTTGTTTATGGATGGTCCTTTCTTCCCAGCCGATTTGTGCATTGTGCAGCTGGGAGTTGTTGTACACTTGGTGTAAGCGCAATCATGCATTGACTCTTTGATTCATGTTGTGGAATGTAAAGCCACTGATATTCCAAGCTGGGTGCAAGATCCTTGTGAACTTTCCTTAATAGAGGAAGATGCACACTACTGTGTGAAAATTGTGTAACTCGGATTAGTTTTTCCAAGTGCACGATGCAGGGCTTGCTGTACTCTAATGTTTGTGCGTCCAAAACTCTTGTTGTTGCTACTGAGCTGCTTTGATAGAAGCCCCTATTGGAAGTGGGATTTTTAGAAGGCTGGGTGCATATCAATGGTAAGGTCTGCACCACTGAAGCAAATAGTTCAGGTTTAATCCTTTTCTGAATATACATTTCTGCAGAGAAACTACTGACGACTGAATGTGTGGTATTGTGGTTAGAATTAAAGACTGGAACTAGGGGGTATCAGGTTTAAATTCTCACTTGAGTATTGAGGTCATTGAGTGATTTTGGGCCAGTCTTTCTGTGTGTGTCTCTGGGTGGGGAAGCAGGAATCTTGTATATCACCTCAATCTTCTTACTACGTTTTACTCAGAGTAAACACACTGAAATGAGTGGAGAAAACTTGGCCATGGCTATTAATTTCAGTGGGTCAACTCTGAGTAGGGCTGGCAGTGGATACAATCCATATGTAGTTGCTTTAAAAAGCAACCCTGAAAATAGTCTGTTTTGGAAAAGCCTTCTGCATTAGTGTTTTGTGGCATTTGCCCGTTGTTTGTGTTTAGACATGGATATTTGATTGGGAGCCTCAGCTGTTCTACTTGTGCAGTTGAGAGATTAACAAGGAGTAGAAAGAGAAATAAGATGAAAGTGAAGAAAACAGGTCCTGGTTAATTTGTATCTCTTGATTGGCCCGTTTTTAATATTGGACCATGTAGTATAGTAATTATCCTGAGCATGTAGAATTCAATGCAAACAGAAGATTTTTTAATAATGAGCTTGGGAATGTGGCTAAATATTTCTTTCTGTGATTTTCTATTAGGTGGAGTGGTAGAGGATGTTAATGATTCATGAGAGTGCCTTCACAATAGCCAGCATGCCCAATGGTCAGGGACGATGAGAGTTGTGGTCCTCCAGATGTTGTTGGAGTGCAGGCTCCCTACCCCTGGTGTAAGCAAACCATAAATTACAAGGCAGTTATAAAAACGATCAAGACTTGGAAACGTTTATTTCCTTGGGAAGGAGATAGGTTCTGCTGCTGAAGGTTTCACACTTTTGCTATATTTTCTTCTAACTGTTCCAAAGAAGAGGTGTTAGTCTCAGACCACAACTGCACCCGTGCACTGTAACATATGTAAAAAAAGATGTGTGAGAGAACCATCTCCATCTCTCAAACCTTACTGCTCTTAAAGTCTTGAAATGATGAGGGGGACACCCCCCAAGATGGAGAATACCTTTTCTGCTTTGCAGTCTTTTGAATATGAGCAAAGCCTGGATTTTCCAACAGGCACTGCTGTCAGCATCATCCAATTGACAGACGACCATAAAGAGAAGGATTGGGTCATCTTAGATGCCCAGTTAATCAGGGGTTCAGCCAAGAACACAAATGTACACAGGAGCATGCTTACTCGTGAGGGTATATTAGCAATGTGAACAAATGTATTGATCCAGGGGTTTCTACCACAATGAAATGACTGCATAACTATGACAAATAAAGATCACTGTAGCGCCTATTTCAATGATTCCTCAAATGTGATACATATCTCCTTACTGGCAGTTGTCAGTCGACAAAAGACTGTAGCAGGCTGCTGTGAAAGGTCATGAGTCTGCTCAGAGCTGTGAGGCCAAATAACCAAAAAGGATGTCACTTTCTGAGGTATATTCAACCCGGAAATGCCTGCACAAGCCTCACTGAAATGAACAGGAGCCTGGCATGATGATGGACTGTGCCCGATGGGTCAGAACTGTTTCCCCTGCTCTTCTGCCCTTAAATAGCACCCAAACAGTGTCGCTTGTGGCTGTCAGATCACCTTGCCCTGTGCCTGCCTTTGAGTAGGAGTCAGAAAAAGATGGTACCCTAATTACCTAGTTGTTGCAAGTGCATATCCAGGGGGTAGGGATTATACCCAACCAAGAGTGGAATATATCCTTGACTAGGGCAGGTACTGTGGAAGATGCATCTGAAAGGAGACTGCTTTTTGGTTTAGAGATCTGTCAGAGGTGGATTTAAGGGAGCATGACTGGTCTGGTCGCACTGGGTGTGAAGCCTTGGGGCCAAGGCAGGGGACTTCACATCTGTTCTCAAATTCTTGTAAGTTTGCCAGATAGTACCTTGCACTTTGTTTTTTTTTTGTTTTTTTAAAGATATTTATTAAAATTTCAACATGTTACAAAAATGAGCGAAAAAAGAAAAAGAGAAGCAGATAAAAAAAGAAAAAAGATGTAAAAATGGAAAAATACAGAGTACAAAATAAAACCAGTTAAACAAACAAATTAGTCTTTCTATGTCTTATCCTTCATTTACTTGTTTCCTCGACCTCCTCGCACCTCCCTTTTTTGTATTCCAGTTCACATATTCTGTTCAGCAGTTCCCTCCCCTCTTTTAAATATCCTAATCAATAATCATAAAGATATTGTACTTTTAGATTTTTACATATTACATAGTAAACCCTTTTTTCATCTTCCCTTGTAACATTTCAGCTAAGAACCACTTAGTTTTTATTGAACATCATTCTAACATTCATTAATTTTACAATATTTCTGTAGATAATCTTTGAATTTCTTCCAATCTTCTTCCACCGACTCTTCTCCCTGGTCTCGGATTCTGCCAGTCATTTCCGCCAGTTCCATATAGTCCATCAGCTTCATCTGCCATTCTTCCAGAGTGGGTAGATCTTGTGTCTTCCAATACTTTGCAATAAGAATTCTTGCTGCTGTTGTGGCATACATAAAGAAAGTTCTGTCCCTCTTTAACACCAATTGGCCGACAATGCCCAGGAGGAAGGCCTCTGGTTTCTTCAAGAAGGTATATTTAAATACCTTTTTCAATTCATTATATATCATTTCCCAGAAAGCCTTAATCTTTGGGCATGTCCACCAAAGGTGAAAGAATGTACCTTCAATTTCTTTACATTTCCAACATTTATTATCGGGCAAATGATAGATTTTTGCAAGCCTGACTGGGGTCATGTACCACCTGTATATCATTTTCATAATATTCTCTCAGTACCTTGCACTTTGAATCAGCTGAAGAGGAAACAACCTGGCTGCATTTTACATTGAACGTTTAAATGGAGTCAGAGACAAATTGCCACAGAGGTATAATCAGCAAGCAAATTATGATCTGATACCCGTTAAGCTTCAGATGTAGCGGCTGGTTGATTAAATTGTGATTGACAAACTTCAAAATGACATGCTTGTCGTCGCAGAAGAGCAGTGGAAACCCCAGAGTGATTCTGAAAAGGGAAGTGACAGAGCTAGTGCTCTCTCTCTCTCTCTCTCTCTCTCTCTCTCTGATGGAAGAAAGGGGTTGAATTGCCCTCTTGAAGTCAGCATTAGTGCCTGCCTCAGAGAGTCATCAGGCAAAATGAGCAATTAATCAGTCGCCTTTTGAAAAGGGACAAGGGACCTCTCCATAGGTTTAGGAGCCAGCATTATCCAATCCCTGTCTGCATTTCAGTTGCAAGAGCACTAAAGCAGATGTCTGACAACAGGGCCACAACTATTGTAATATCCTTTCCTTTTTCGCTTCTGTTTTTTGATGGCTTGGGGGGGTGCGTGCGCGCGCGCGCACACACACACACAGAGCTACTTGTTAAAAACATGAAAGCAGTTTTAACATTTTTCGGTTTAAAGACTAGTAAGCAGATTGGCACTGCTGTTTTCTGCCTTGTCTGTAAATGTTGCTTATAGAACTTGCCGTGCATACTATGGGCCTTTCCACACTTAGCATTTGCCCCACTCTTTCCAGTCACAGGTCAACACCAAGCACCATCCCACACAAGCACCAAGGTACACTTGTAGTAACAGAGCCATTTCCCCGCCTGTTTCTGTGCCTTTGATAGTGGCCTGACATACAGAGATTAAGTAGGTGAAGCTTTAACCATCATGGCCTGACCTAGAAGTGCCAGGCTGCCCCCAATATTGGGGTGAGGGCACACGTTGTGTGCGCATAGCGTCAAGTGAGTGACTCACATTGTGCATGTGTAATGCCACATGCGTTGCATGCAAATGATGTTGCGTCATCTGGAAAAGGCTGAGCGCTCTGTAGGAGCTGGTTGTGAAGCTGTGACATGCAACTTGCAATGTGCATAACGCGCACCAGGCCCCCTCAGCATTGAGGTGGCCAAACCCCCTTATGACAAAGATTGAGGGGACAAGAGACATGTTGGCCCCAGAGCTGGTGCACCTGGCCTGCGCGATTTTCTAAGAGAGGAAGAAGCAACACTCTTCAGAGAAGAATCTGGGTGCCATATCCCCCCCCAAATGGCAGTTACCCACAGTGCTCAGCTTAAAGAGTCCTATCCAACCATAATAAGAGGAACGTGAGCAATACTCAGCAGGCGCATTATAAAATGGCTGTCTCAAGGATTATATTGTGCTATTTTATAGATATATTTATATATCATTTTTAGGCCCACAGTCCCCCAAAGCGGTGAGCAGCATATTAACGCAACAAATGATGTCACAAAACATACTATAAAATACTATAAATCAATCATCAAAACAGATTTAGAGTTGGAAAGGACTTCGGGAGTCACCTAGGTCACCCCCGGTTCAATTCAGAGACATTTGTACAGGTATTCTTTGTGCAAGTGTGATTAAAAAAATCCTTCCTAAATAGAATGATCTTAAGATATTTACATTCTTCTCCTTTTAACCCCATCCCATATTTTAATTTATTTAAAAAATTCTATCCTTTCAGGATAAAATTCTACATTTCAGGACAAGCTGTTTACATAAACAGATAAAATACAAACATTCAAACACCTCTTTCCAATAAAACTAAAAACATCCCATAGCTCAGCACAACAGTTATATAAAAAGCAACTTAAACAATTAAGAGTAAATTGAACTTCTGAATCTCAAAAGATCTCATGGTCTCCTTTCAGTCTGTTCCCGGGCAAATGGAAGACCCTTGCCAGTAGATACCAAAGACAAGCGCTCACACAGATGATGAAGTGTTTCATTTATTCATTTCTAAAATCAAGAGCTGTTGCTTAATTGGACTGAAGAAACAAACAAGCTCTTAGCAGCCCTTACAGCACAGGCCATGCTGAAGCTCCAGGGATGGCTTTTGGCTGTAATTGGAAAGTAGCCTACATTTCGGATTCCCATCCAAAAGGCTTTATTTCCCACTGCCAAGACAGAGCAGTGCTGCTGAACTTTCTAAATGAATGAGGCAGAGCCCAAGAGACTCTGGCCAAGGTAGATACAATACAATCTACATCTGTCCAGGCGCAGCTTCAGGCTTCATAAAAGTGTGTTATCTCCACCGAGTCTCCTTATCACTACTCTCAATTCCTGGTTTAGCAGTGGATTCATACATAGCTCAAATACATATCAAGAGGGTATTGGGGATGTAGGCATGATTTAAAAATACCCCCCCCCCCAAGCCTTTCATTGAGAGGCTTAAGCATCTGGATGTATTTAGCTCACTTAAAACAAGGTTAAAAGGGGCTTGTTTTTGCATGTATACTGCCATGGATGCTGACTAACCATCCTCTGTTAGTGTGGTTGTTACCTAGTAATCCAGAGTGATGGGTTGATCAGTGGGAACTATGACCCAAAATGGTAACTAGAAATCTCTATCCAATATTTGGAATGGGATATGCATCTGTGAGGAGAAGACAGAGAAAGAGGTAAAGGCAGTTTGAATTTAGAGAGAACAAGACAGTGTGTATCCTGGGGGAGCTGTGAACTGGCTGAAGGTAAAGAATATTGAGATGTAGGAGATTTCTCTGGGGATCTGGTGCCTGCTGTGAGAGAATTCATTCACTTTCCACTTTGTCCTGCTTATATATTTGTAAGTAAAAGCAAATATGACAGAAATACAAGTCTGGTGTTTAAGGGAGATAACAGAAATCACTGGGTTAAAGCTGTCAAAAAGTCCAGAAGTAGGATCTGTTAGAATTCCTGCTCCATGATTGCAGTCATGGGATTTTTATCTATCACATGACTGTGTGTGTTTTGACTCCACAGAGTGGAAAGTGACGGAGAGAGAATGTTTGTGTTACTGTGTTCCGTGAAGGGGGACTATTGTCCTTTGTTCTTTCTCTTTGCTATCTGATGCTAGAGAGAGAGGGAGCCATGTTGCAGTGCTCCGTGTGTGTTTATATGTAGATTAACCAAAATGCTGAGGTCTGTTACGCAAGCTGCGAAGACTCTGTGGATCCCTAAGTGTGCCGGTGTCTGTTGGCATTGGTCGCTGTGATGTTTGGGCTGAAGAAAGCTAATGAAGCTCCTGACCAGGAGGGAGAGAACATGCCAGTTGAGCATGTATCTCTGCCAGGGTCCTACTCGAGTGTAGGATGAGCTCCTGACAGCATCATTATCAGTTTACGATGGGGTGGAAGGTTTGCAGGCTATGAAAGGCCTGCTCACAAATTTATTGACAGCTGCACAAATTATTATAGCTAGGAAGTGGAAGGGGCAAGCAGAATATGAAATGGAAGAATGGTATAAAGAGGTGTGGAATATAGCTATTAACACGTGCCATCAAGGCAAGATGGGGGAATATGCAGGCACTGGCAGAGGAAGAGAAAGAGGAGTGGAGGGGGAGCGCACCGCCCCTGGCAGCACGATCCCGGCAGGGTGCCATTGTGGCTGCCCCCCACCCCCAGGACGCCCCACCCCGCAGGTGGCGTGCCCCGCCCCCAGGATGTGTGCCAGCCCCACCCTTGCCTGCTCTCCGCCACTGTATGCATGCGAAATGATTTTGAGTAGATATGGAGGGTGTTTGTAGAATTTATACTGTTAAAACGGAAAGGGTTCAAACCATGGCAAGAGGTGTTGAAATTTTGGGAGGTTGGATAATTATAATGGAATGGTATTGGTGGTGGGGTGCACATTTTTATTCTTATTTATTTATGATTATTACTTTGTCAAAATAAAATAAAGAACTTTTAAAAAGAAAGAAATGCAAGTCTGCAGTGCACTCTAATCCAAAAGAAAGCAAAACGCCATAGCACTGCCTCCGTAATTTCTCATCAGTCAGAAGTTAATGTTTTGCACTTCCCCAAGCTGAAGAAAGTTCACAGCTTTACACCATGAATGGTGTACCTGTGGCATTTCAGATGCTGTTGCACTATAATCCCAACCATCCCTTGTCATTGGCCATGCTAGTTGGAGTTTACTCCAGAAACCTTTGGAGAGCGACAGGTTTCTCATCCTTGCTTTACATGGTCTTTTCTTTTCTTTTCTTTTCTTTTCTTTTCTTTTCTTTTCTTTTCTTTTCTTTTCTTTTCTTTCTTTCTTTCTTTCTTTCATTTGGGGGGAGGAGAAAGCATAGGGAAGTTATCACATTTTGTAATAATCTGCTTCTCTATAAATGTATAGACTATAAAATTGGGCTGCAGAAGCATGCACACAGGCCCTCCACCCAAGGCAATGTAATTCCAGCACACAAAGCCCTACACCATTAATAGGGAGCCTGTGGTCCTACAGCAGGCATAGGCAAACTCAGCCCTCCAGATGTTTTGGGACTACAATTCCCATCATCCCTACCTAACAGGACAAGTGGTCAGGGATGATTGGAGTTGTAGTCCCAAAACATCTGGCGGGCCGAGTTGGCCTATGCCTGTCCTACAGCATTCAACTCCAATTCCCATCAGCCCCATCCAGCTAGGCCGGGGGTCAGGGATGCTGGAAGCTTTGGTCCAATAGCTTCTATAGCGCCATAGCTTCCCCATTCTTCTCTTAAACAATTTGTTGTTGTTTAGTCGTTTAGTCGTGTCCGACTCTTCGTGACCCCATGGACCAGAGCACGCCAGGCACTCCTGTCTTCCACTGCCTCCCGCAGTTTGGTCAGACTCATGTTTGTAGCTTCGAGGACACTGTCCAACCATCTCGTCCTCTGTCGTCCCCTTCTCCTTGTGCCCTCAATCTTTCCCAACATCAGGGTCTTTTCCAGGGAGTCTTCTCTTCTCATGAGGTGGCCAAAGTATTGGAGCCTCAGCTTCATGATCTGTCCTTCCAGTGAGCACTCAGGGCTGATTTCCTTACGAATGGATGCGTTTGATCTTCTTGCAGTCCATGGGACTCTCAAGAGTCTCCTCCAGCACCATAATTCAAAAGCATCAATTCTTCGGCGATCAGCCTTCTTTATGGTCCAGCTCTCACTTCCATACATCACTACCGGGAAAACCATGGCTTTAACTATACGGACCTTTGTTGGCAAGGTGATGTCTCTGCTTTTTAAGATGCTGTCTAGGTTTGCCATCGCCTTTCTCCCAAGGAGCAGGCGTCTTTTAATTTCGTGACTGCTGTCACCATCTGCAGTGATCATGGAGCCCAAGAAAGTAAAATCTCTCACTGCCTCCATTTCTTCCCCTTCTATTTGCCAGGAGGTGATGGGACCAGTGGCCATGATCTTCGTTTTTTTTGATGTTGAGCTTCAGACCATATTTTGCACTCTCCTCTTTCACCCTCATTAAAAGGTTCTTTAATTCCCCTCACTTTCTGCCATCAAGGTTGTGTCATCTGCATATCTGAGGTTGTTGATATTTCTTCCGGCAATCTTAATTCCGGCTTGGGATTCATCCAGCCCAGCCTTTCGCATAATGAATTCTGCATATAAGTTAAATAAGCAGGGAGACAATATACAGCCTTGCCGTACTCCTTTCCCAATTTTGAACCAGTCAGTTGCTCCATATCCAGTTCTAACTGTAGCTTCCTGTCCCACATAGAGATTTCTCAGGAGACAGATGAGGTGATCAGGCACTCCCATTTCTTTAAGAACTTGCCATAGTTTGCTGTGGTCGACACAGTCAAAGGCTTTTGCATAGTCAATGAAGCAGAAGTAGATGTCTTTCTGGAACTCTCTAGCTTTCTCCATAATCCAGCGCATGTTTGCAATTTGGTCTCTGGTTCCTCTGCCCCTACAAAATCCATCTTGCACTTCTGGGAGTTCTCGGTCCACATACTGCTTAAGCCTGCCTTGTAGAATTTTAAGCATAACCTTGCTAGCATGTGAAATGAGTGCAATTGTGCGGTGGTTGGAGCATTCTTTGGCACTGCCCTTCTTTGGGATTGGGATGTAGACTGATCTTCTCCAATCCTCTGGCCACTGCTGAGTTTTCCAAATTTGGTGGCATATTGAGTGTAGCACCTTAACAGCATCATCGTTTAAAATTTTAAATAGTTCAGCTGGAATATCGTCACTTCCACTGGCCTTGTTATTAGCAGTGCTTTCTAAGGCCCATTTGACTTCACTCTCCAGGATGTCTGGCTCAAGGTCAGCAACCACACTACCTGGGGTGTACGAGACATCCATATCTTTCTGGTATAATTCCTCTGTGTATTCTTGCCACCTCTTCTTGATGTCTTCTGCTTCTGTTAGGTCCTTTCCATTTTTGTCTTTTATTATGGCAATCTTTGAACGAAATGTTCCTTTCATATCTCCAATTTTCTTGAACAGATCTCTGGTTCTTCCCATTCTATTGTTTTCCTCTATTTCTTTGCATTGCTCGTTTAAGAAGGCCTTCTTGTCTCTCCTTGCTATTTTTTGGAAATCTGCATTCAATTTCCTGTATCTTTCACTATCTCCCTCGCATTTTGCTTGCCTTCTCTCCCCTGCTATTTGTAAGGCCTCGTTGGACAGCCACTTTGCTTTCTTGCATTTCCTTTTCATTAGGATGGTTTTAGTTGCTGCCTACTGTATAATGTTACGAACCTCCATCCATAGTTCTTCAGGCACTCTGTCCACCAAATCTAAATCCTTAAACCTGTTCCTCACTTCCACTGTGTATTCATAAGGGATTTGACTTAGATTGTATCTTACCGGCCCAGTGGTTTTCCTACTTTCTTCAGTTTAAGCTTGAATTTTGCTATAAGAAGCTGATGATCTGAGCCACAGTCAGCTCCAGGTCTTGTTTTTGCTGACTGTATAGAGCTTCTCCATCTTTGGCTGCAGAGAATATAATCAATCTGATTTCGATGCTGCCCATCTGGTGATGTCCATGTGTAGAGTCGTCTCTTGTGTTGTTGGAAAAGCGTGTTTGTGATGACCAGCTTATTCTCTTGGCAGAACTCTATTAGCCTTTGCCCTGCTTCGTTTTGAACTCCAAGGCCAAACTTGCCAGTTGTTCCTTTTATCTCTTGACTCCCTACTTTAGCATTCCAATCCTGGGATATTAAACAATATCCCAGGCCAAATCCCAAAGCATTTGCTTTTCATAGAATTGTAGAGTTGGAAGGGACCCCGAAGGTTTGAGCTCTTCTTGTGTACATTCTCTCAAGCAAAACTGGTTTCAACTACCTTCCAGCTGGATGGGAATCAATATATGTATATTCCAACAGAACCTGAGAGCAGCCTAATGGTTTTCAATATCCATTGTTCCCTGTTAATGCCTAGAGTTGTAGGGCAAGTCAAGACTAGACGGGGGGGGGGGATTTTTCACGTTTCAGAAAACAGCAGTATGACTTGCAGCAGTATTTCCATGGCGAGGTCACTGCAACCAGAAGTCATCTTGTTAAACTCGCAAATATATGGAAATTAAAAAGGATATGTTTCCTAGCCAATTTCAGTGGTCCCCAAATGCTTGCGGTGATGCTAATAGATTCCTACCTGTTCAAAAGCAAAGCTTTCAAAAAGTTTGGATGGGTTAGAAGGCAGTTGAAATCCACTTTGAGTAGCCGAGTTGAACAGAGCAGGTGGCTACCTTGGAGCCAAGGAAAGATGGAGAGAAAACAGGTAAAGCTGTTAAGAAAGTGAAACATACAGGCAGTCCTCAACACACTGCAGAATCTCAAAGGAAGGCTTTTGGGCAGTGTTCAAAACTCCCATTGTTCTAGGCGCATTTTGCAACAGGGAATTTAATTAGCGTTAGTTTCTGAGTTCTGGGTGCAGTATTGCACCTAAGATTTCAGATTAAAACTGCAAAGTGGAAGGAAAGGAGGACCTTTTTCTGCCTCCCCACTTCCAGCTACTTTCTGAAGACTGGAGAAGAGACCCTCTTAAGAATATTAGGGGGGTGGGCAGGGGAAGGACAAGTGAAAAATGAACATAGTATTTTAGCTGCAGTTCATTTTCAGCTTTATATTCTTGTTATTTAAAAAGTGAACCTAGACATTCCGTAGTTGTGCCCATAACCCAGGTTAAGGTGCCATTTAGCTCCTAGCTTTCTTTCATATCTCAGTTTCTAGCCCTGCTTTTGGGGTGTAGGTAAGGGAGGTCAGGCTGATGACTCAGCTGGGTGGAGAACCCACTTGTGCCACTGCAGATGCCTAACGAGAACCACAAGCTGAAAAAAGAAACCAGAACAACTCAAAAGAAATCATAGTTGGACTTTACACAGCAAAGCAAATGTAAGCACTAGACCAGATGATCAAAGAAATGAAATTAGGTCTTTCCTATTTGGAATCTTGCGATCACAAATAGATTTGTTTCTGAAATAGCTTCCATCTTCTATCTTCTATCAGGCATTATGTACACGATTCAAGAGCTGCTTCTTAAAATTTCAAAGACTGTTGTTCAACTAGTGCATCTTAAACTGAACATGTGTGCTACAAATGTAAATTACTGATAATATGGCTATATTTCCATTTAGAATACATATTGAACTCTGGTGGCCATAGAAAGTGTAGGATATATATTGATCTATCCAGTATCCTGGAGCTATGATTTGGTTTTTGAGACAGTCAAAACTTTTCTCTTATTTTCTTTTTGTAAAATATAGGGCCTAATGAAGCCACAGTTAAGCATATTTTAAGAGTTGTTCAATACAAATGGTTTAGAAATGAGCTTGAAAATCCATGGGACTGAAATTGGGACTGGATTGTGTCCAGACTTCTGAACACGCATACAGCCTATTGTGCCCTGAACAGATGGTGAGGACTTAACAAGCAGTATTTATATGGCGGAAATGACTGGCAGAATCCGAGACCAGGGAGAAGAGTCGGTGAAAGAAGACTGGAAGAAATTTAAAGACTATTTACAGAAATATTGTAAAATTAAGGAATCTTAGAAGGATGTTGGATAGAAACTAAGAGGTTTTTAGCTGTAATGCTTTAAGAGATATGAAAAAGGTTTACAATTGGGTAAAAGTTTAATGGTAAGGATTTGCTGAACTAACAAACTGAACTGGAATACAAAAAAGGGAGGTATGAGGAGGTCCGGGGAAATAAGTGTAGGGAAGATAGGTTTGGAAAATTAATGTCTTTTTAACTGTTTTATTTTGTATGTTTCCTTTTTATTCTTTACTTTTTTGTTATATTTTAAAAACTTTACTCTTTTTTCTGTATTTTGTATTTTTTTGAAACTTTAATAAATATCATTTAAAAAAAAAACAAGCAGTATTTATACTCTGGTTTCTCTTCAGATCATATAAATCTTTCACCTTTAACAAGTAGTATTTATTTTTCAGTTCTCATTTGTGGTCACTAAAATGAGACTTTACTTACTGTTCCTTTAATGCATAATTGTCTCTAAAATATATGAGTTTTACTATATGCATATTTGCCAAATGTAAAACGGATGATTAAGTCCACTATCTGGAAGGGATGCAGTGACATGCAAAGAACTGAACAGAGGTGAGAGGGGGAAAGCTTTTCTCCCCATCATAATTGTCTCTTGGGAACTGTGGTCTATGCAAATGTTGCCATGTTTTCAGATTTACTCATTATTCATAATAATTCAAGCAAGTCGTATGAATAATCCTAGGACTGTTGTTCAGCTGCGAGGCTGCCCTTACAAATACTTCTGTGAAATGCAAAGTGTGTTGGCTGGTTTTGATCTGACTCACAAGGTGACAGTGAGGGTCTTTCTTGTTCCTTCTTCTAGGTTCTCATTAAAGCTTTTTTTTGGGGGGGGGGTTACTGAATGTCCGGTATCTTCCAATTGTCTCAGTGAGCTTCTCATTAACCTTGGGGGCAGGGGGTGTCCAGGATCTCCCACCCTGCCCTGCCACCCTCTAGCAGTGATAGGGAACCAATTTTATCTCAAGGGCCACATTCTCCCCAGGAGCTCCTCAGAGACAAAGGTAAGTGGAATAATGGAGGTGACGCCTACCTTTGTACAGTAGGCTGCCTTCTAGTGGCTGCTACACACGCGCGCGCGCACACACACACACACACACACACAATGCACAGCATTATCCCAGTTGAAGGATGCACTTCAGCCAGACAAAAGCAAGGAGAAGGCAGAGACTGGGAGAATCCTGAGAGCCATATAGAGGAGACTAGAGGGATGCCTTTGCCCTCAGCCTGAAGTTCCCCTTCTGGCTGCCAGGCCACAGATTCCTCACTCCTGCTCTAGTCGTGACCAGGCCAAGATAGATTATGTGCACACACAACTCACTTCCCATAGTACACAGTACATAAGCGCAATGCCACATTGTGCACTCAAGATGGCCGCATTGGTGGGGGCGTGAACTATCTTTTAGAAGCAGCAAAAACCGATGCCCCGTTCATGCCACAGAGTGAGAGTAAATGGTCTTTTTAGTTCAGAGACACAGCTATTCTTTTGCAAATCTGTTCTGTGCCCACAAGGCACTGTTAAATAATACTGATTTTGTCTAACAGTGTTTGTAAGGTGCTGTACAAAGTGTCATGGCTTCAGCCCAGAAGTATTTTATTTTATTTTATTTTAAAAGATTTATAAACATTATAAAGTATCAGAAATGTACAGAAAATGAAAAATAAGTATAAAACACTCACCAGAAGTAATGAAGTTAAAATAACAATACAACGCCAGAAGATGATCAACAGTCATTAATTAAAATGTTCAGTCAGAAAAGGCTTGTGTATATAATAAGAGTTAAGCATGAATCTGAAATGGCACTCAGTAGGGGCATGCCGTATCTTAGATGGGAATAAATTCCACATTAAAGGGGCCGCAACACTGAAAGCCTTGCTACTGGTAGACGCAAGGAGAAGAGCCAAAACCTTTGGCACCAACAGGAGACGCTCTACCATGCATTGTAGTGGCTGGGCAGGGGTATAAAGTTGTATTTTTTGGTAGCCCCATCCCAAGTTGTTAAGTATCTTAGCTAGGCTTGAATATTATGCCTCTTTACTTGTGGAATGGGGTGGGCAACATTTGCTGTTCTGCCTCCGACGGTAAAATCTCATAAGCCAGTCCTGACTGTTTAAGGTATAAATCCTTTGACCTGAGCCTGATATTTAAAATTCAAACCTAGCCCTGTGTTCTAGAACTACTGTAAGTCCAGTGCTGTTTACAACTGCATCACAGAAGCTCTTGTTCTGAGCTTTTGAGCACTTATGTGTGCTTGCGGAAGTCTAAATTTTACCTCCCCCCCTCCAGTTAATTCTTTGGTGGACGTTTCTAGCAGTGAGGTCCAATGGGACACAAATACAGTTGCAGCAAATCCTGCTTTTTCATTTATTCGAGCAAATACTTGAGATAATTATTTTGAAGCATTTCTCCAGCCCTGGTAGTAAACTGTATTTTTAATTGCTGCTTTCGTATGCATGCTGTTTTATTTGTTTAATAAAACTCACTTGGCTAACTAGACCCCAGAGCTCACAAGGCTTCCATCTCCTCATAAAGGAGATAAGAAATGTGAGTTTCCTTATGGAATGCACTAAAGATCTGCTTCTATTAATTTGTTTCAGTTGTGCTTGTGGCTGTCCGTTATATAATAAGGGTTTTTTTTGGCTGCTTAAAAAAAACCACTCCCCAGACATGAGCTCCTTGTTTAAAATAGGATGTTCATTACTGTTTGAAGATGCTTATCTCTGTGTCCTCCATTGTTTCCCCAAAATGTTGGGTCAGTTAGTTCAGTTAGTTTAGTCTGAAGGACCAACCACATCTGCTATTGGGTCCCCGGAGCACAGATTCACACAAAGCGGCAAAACGTCCTTGCAGGTTATTAACAGGATTTTATTTGAAGTGCATATATGCAGAACAAAGGTACAGGGCGATATGCTCGCAACCTGCACACCCAGTCAGGGTGCGCCCCCTTTTTATAGATTTGCAGAATACAATACCACCTGATTTCTTGTAAACCGAAAGTTATGGCAACTTCCTATGTCCTTACATGGGCTTGCCCCCCCCCCTTTCCTGCAATGGCCTCACCTGCCTCTCCATGCCACGGCAATATGCGTTCCTGAGTCTGCTTATCTCTTTACAACCTTGAATAATAAACATTTGAGCCTGTTCCATCAATGCCAGCCTTGTTCTCCTGATGGACCTCGACATGTGATTTACACTAATAGCAATAAGATGGGGCTTTGTTTCTTGTGCCCCCTGTCTGGGGTACAATAACATCCATTCAACTTTGCTTTTATCTTTTACCCGCCTAAGTCAGTCATTCTGAGAGAGGAGAAAATGCCTAAAACAGTTTTTGGGATCCATATAGAGAACAATATTCTAATGGCCCTTCAAGACCACCTCTTGAATCATGAGAGCTGGATTGCTGCCTCCACCAGTGGCCAGATAGCCCTGGAAAGCTCACAAGCGGGGGCATTAAGCGATGATGTATGTCATTTATAGATATATCAGCCATATATTTTGCAGTCTAATATCTAGCACTGTGAACTGTTCTTTGGGGTGTCTATGTCCTGGGGCTGCTTCTTTTAGAGAAGGGTTTTTGCCCAACGTTCCATTGCACTCGTGTTCTTGCAGAAATGGAGGTACGGTATTGCAGAACTATTCCACCTGCCCAATGGCCATGTGCACGCTGTTTGCACTAAGTCAGCTTCAGCTCATTGTGAGGAGATTGCCCCTAATTCTGCACCTCCTTTTGGGTTAGACTTGGGACAGTTCTCCATTACAAATGCTGTGGGAAATACAGTGGTACCTCAGGTTACAGACACTTCAGGTTACATACGCTTCAGGTTACAGACTCCACTAACCCAGAAATAGTACCTCGGGTTAAGAACTTTGCTTCAGGATGAGAACAGAAATTGTGCAGCAGCAGGAGGCCCTGTTAGCTAAAGTGGTGCTTCAGGTTAAGAACAGTTTCAGGTTAAGAACGGACCTCCGGAACGAATTAAGTACTTAACCCAAGGTACCACTGTACTGGTTCCTGTAACCAAGACATGACATATACAGCACATGATATGTGATATATATATATCTCAAAACATCTATGTCAATGAATCTGGTGGATCCAGTTGATCCAGAAGCATGTAAATGCACTTGTATGATGCCCATATGTTAATTTTTGTTGTTGTAGGGAAAACTGAAGTAACACCCGTGTTTCCCACACCATCACTTGTAATATGTGAAGGTGCTTTTTCGGGAATTTCGCACGTGACACCAAAAGAGTGTCAATTTTCTTCCCCTATTTGTGCTATGCATGGACGTTGCTAATGGGGCATGGATAGCAGAAGAAAATCTACTGTATGTTCTAGATTTTACATTTGCATTCTAGGCTTGTGTAAGCCTCCTGTGAAAATGTTCTCAAAACGGCAGAGATTTTGAGCATTATCACATGTAATGTTTTCAGGGCAATCCTATCCCCATTTGCTCAGAAGTTCCATTGTGTACAACAGTGCAGCTTCAAATTGCCTTTGAGCCTCTCTCACATGATTTGCACTGGTGGCTGGTCATTGTTGATGCAGAAGAGAAAGCAGAGTGGTAATTAGTAATGCAAATAAACATTCTAGCTAATATGACCTTTACACCCACATTATAAGCATGGCAAGTGTGAAAATGAGCCTCAGCCTTGTGTTGTGTGTGCGTGCCCTTTTAGATAATTTTCTGCTACAATCTCCTGCAAATGTACGAGGGGGCTTGGGAGTGTGCAAGGAACAAGTTTTGACTAGGACAGTGGACACACGCTTCAAGCGATGGACAGATCCGTCTCTTTCATATGTGTTCATAATTAATCATCCATAATTCATTTCCACATTAATCTGCATTTTAAAAAATGTTCACAAAATGTGCTGCTATGTATTGAAATATTGTACTAAAGTAATTTAAAATATGCATTTCCCATGCATTTTGATACATTTATTGAATTGAAAATGCAAAATTTGGAGAATTGCAAATTAGACTCTGCACTTTAGTTTTGGAGGTGCAGATTAGATCAACTCACGTCTGCAATGAACCACTCAGGCATTCCTACTGATGCTTGTCCTTCTTGTGAAGATCAGTAACGAGAAGGTGGGGACTAGAATGGCAAAATGCAAGCTAGTCAAGAAATCTGCGCTCATTCTGGCTCTGCTCAAAAGATTAATCTGCACATTATCAGTCCATTCCTCCAGATAGCTATTTCATTTCCATAGACTTGGCAGTCAGTTCACAACTTCCAGTGAGTCTTTTAAAATGTTTGAATTGAAAAGTGCTGGTGACACAGCAGAGGACAGTCGCAGATATCTTCAAGATTGTTCTTGATTGATTATATTTGTAGGAGCCTTGAAGCCCCCATGAATGATGATGGAGTCAGTTACTTGTCATAATCTTGCAGTACCAGGAATCTTGGCAGAAAAGTAGGGGTGAAAGCGGAAATGAATCAGAAGAATTTTGTGCCTGGGTTTGTTTTCCTCTTCCTTCCCCATCTACTTTTCATCTTGTGCTGTGTCTTTTCTGAAGACAGGGGTTGTGTTGGGGGTGGTTGTCTGAGAGCCTTTCCGAGGAAGAGCAGGTACAAACTCTGTGAACAAATGAGCAAATCAAAATAACAGTGGGAAAGGGTAGAAATAAGTATACTAATATAGGGCAATGAGAAATGGTTCTCCCCACCACCACAGCTCAATGGCACATGCATTTCCAGATATCCTTCCTGGGAGAAGCATTGCGTGGCAAGGTCCCAAACCCTCCCAGGAAGTGGAATAAAGACACATGAAACAGTATTTTAGGTTAATGGGCGAAAAGGCTACAACTTTGCTGGTTACAGAATGTGAGTGGTATTGGCTTAGGCATTGGAAACCACATGACTATATCTGACTCCTGCCCATCTGCAGGAGTCTTAGAAGGGTTAACCACCAGTAGGGGGAGCCCTGCTGATGCACATCAACTAGGAACTCCCCCAGGGTCACTGCTAGGGGTCGTGCCATGGCCCTAGCCCCCCTGTCTGGGGCTTCGGACAGAGACCATGCCCCCCCCTGGATTCCTTTAACAGAATACCCTTGAATTAGGAGGGGTAGGTGATAGCCATTACCTTCCCTCACCTTCAACCTAATACTCCAATGCCTAACTGCCAAACCTTACAAAGTAGTGACGATTTGCTACAAGGTAGGTGAAAAACCAAATGGCCGGTGCCAATTTGCCAAGTGGGGAAAACTTCCTACCAGGCTCCTTGGACAACCAAGGCAAGCAACCGAGGTCCATAGCAAGGTCAAGAAATAAAGAGCCTAGCCTAAGGGCGGGAGAACTGACCGAGCAGGGAGAAAACAGGGGCGAGTCCTCAGCTGCGGATTGGACAGCCTAAGGATGACGTGGCCGAGGACCATCCAATGGCACAGGGGCTACACCGCCCCATGCGTGTGGGAAGGGCTTGCTCCCAGCCTGCAACCTCATTTCCCTGGGAACGGGAAATGGCTTTGCAGCTGATCCTTGTGTGAGGGCCATTCCCTGTTGATCTGACTCATCGCGTGGCATCGCACACAGCAAGAGCACAAGGACTTTAAAGGAACAGCATGTTCTGCTGCTGAGCTGTAGCAGTTCCAAAAGTGGCAGCGAGGGTGTTAGACAAGGCCAAGCCACTACCCTGGCTACTGCCTCTAAGGAGCATGTAGGGAAAGCTCAGATTGCAGAACTGGAATCCAGAGAAGAAAAGAGACAGCTGGAGAGAAAATGGAAGACAGCCGATTTGCTTGGCTCCATCCTCTGGAACAGCAAGTTACCGAGGCTGGGCTGTTATTAGTGCTATTCTGAACAATGCTTGAAGCAGAAGCTTTGTCTTTTGACTCGACCCTATGGAGCAAATGGGACCGTGTCCCCATATCCAATGGTTTCTTTCCTTTCCATGTACAATTAGCTGTGCTCTGCCAGAAAGCCTCTTCCCTTCCTTTCCTCTGCAGATCCTTCATCTACCTTGGCAAACTTTGTTATTAACCAAGCATACTTTAGTGAAAAGATGGATGTCTGAGAAGAGCATCGCTCACTCAGTAGCATGACTAGGGGGGTGCAAACAGTGTCCCAACACCAGGTGCAAGGTCTGGGGTGTGTGCAAGATTCACTGCTGCTGCTGCTGCTGCTGCTGAATTGCAGCTTAAAATCATTGTAATAGCATGAG